AGTTACTAGAAAACAAAGAATAGTTAAAGAGCAAGGAAATAATTGACAGTAGACTTAAAAAGTTGTAGGTTTTATGAGTCAGGAAAACATGAAGATAAAGAGAGTTCCAAAGCATTGAGGTGGGGAAAAAATTGGATAAATAAAAGTTTTTAGAGCTTGGAGGAACAGATACAGTAAAAAGATGCAACTTTGCTGAATAATGAGTCAAGCAAGAATGAGTTTTGGTTAATGGAATTAGAGATATTAGCTCCTTAGAGCAACAACTATGATAGTATTTGTAGAAAAGAGAAAGAGAGACAACTTTATGTCGATAGGAGAGAGAGGCTCAAGCTTAGCAGATAAAGCGAGTCCAGCTAAGTTTACAATGCATTTTTTTGACCTTATCTAAAAAAGAAAGAGCATCATTAGAAAAATCAGTCCAAATTTGACAACAGTATCCTATATAAGGGCGAATAAGAAATTTATAGAGGTAGAGAATGGAATTAGGAGTAAGAAAAAGGCAAGCATGATAAAGAGAAGCAGCATTAGCAAATGCTATCTTTGAGATTGATTGCATATATGGTTTCCATGAGAGATCAACAGTAAATGATAATCCAAGAAGACGTAAAGAAGAAGACTCAGTGAGAGGGTTACCATTCATCAATATAGGAATGTCGAGAGTGTTGTGCTAGTTGTTTGACTTTATTAAAGTGACTAGAAAGGAATGATTTGATAATCTCAAAAACTTCTTTAGATACACCATATAAAGCAAGCTTATAGAGAAGACCAACATGCCAGAATTTACTTAAAGCTTTAAAGATGTCAAGACAATAGACCCTGTCTTTCCCTATCCATCTAATGCACACTCAAATCTTTCAGTCACAGCAGTTAGTAAGTTAGCCTTAGAATGAGAAGATTGAAAACTGTATGTATTGTCTGACACTATGTTGTTTGATTCAAGAATGTGATGTTAAAAATTTGTTGATCAAAGACTTTGCTAATAATAGAGAGAAGAGATATGAGTTGGAACGGTCAGAATTTTCTCCAGAGTTGTTAAAAATTGAAACCATTTTCAAGCAGTCAAAAAAATTTTTTTTTTGTCTAGCATTTTTTAAATAGTTTAGAGAGAATCAATGAACACTTTTGTAAGACAATACCTTTAGGAATGTTATCTGCACCACAACCCATAGAAGAGTTTAATTGAGATATGACTTTGAGAGAAATTGAGATATGACAACGAGTGATTTAAATGAAAAATTGAATGAAAACAGGTTAACAATGGTTAACCTGTTTAACTCAAAAGGCAGAAAGAGTATGGCAATTAGATTTATAAGTTATATTAGAAGAAAAGTTTTTTGCCAATAGTTCTGTCTTGAGAGAGTTAATAAAATCAGTCCCATGGTGAAATAGAATGTTTAACCTCCCTTTGCTAATGACACTGTTGAAGATTTACCAAAAGTGTCTAGAGCCTAACTTCTGAGATAAGATACGAAATTTAGTGAACTGAGAATTAGGTTAGCATCAGGTAGCACTTTTTTACATTGATTTTTTGCATTATTAAATAGCTGTTTGTTCTCAAGAGAGTTGTTCTTTTAAAAAAATATGTAAAAAATGATTAGGATTAGGTACAGCTGTTGCACAAAACGGGGAAAACCATGGAGTAGAATGAGGCTTTACTTGGAACAAAAACAAGAAGGAATAAATGCTTCCATGTCTGCTTGGCTCCAGGAGGTTATGTTGGTGGTACATTTATCAGCAGTGAGAGAAGACATCAACCCAAGGGCTTTCACTTTTCCTAAATATTTGTATAATTAATGACCTAATATTAGTAAATTATTGTTCAAACTAAGTGCTTATGAAGTGCTACTACAGATGGATATATGTTAACCAAAGCACATGCTAAATGAACAATTTTATCTAATGTTGTATAACATTCTCCCTCTTTAGTAAATAAATAATGAATTAGTATTTTACTGTTGAAAATGGAACTTCAACGTTTAATATAAAAGTTTAATATATTTAAAAGAAAATCACAAAAAAATCCCAGTTAGCTTAGTGTAGTAGTAAATAGTGTGATGATAGGGTGAGTAAGAATAAGAAGTAAAAATTGAAAGATTTATAGAGATCATTGCATAATCAAAATTACCTTAAGGAGAAACTAAACACAAGCTAGGTTCAGAGACAAGATGCAAAAAGGAGTGAAGGTAAGTGATTAGAGTTGTCTGGGAAACAAGTCACAAAGTTAACTATCTGAATAAGAGATTAAGAAATACAGAATTTAGGGGCTTTAGTGCCAGCAGGGTCAGTGTTATTAGAGTCAAGCCATTCAATGTGATGGGAATTAAAGCCATTCAGTGTAATGAGCATTAAAGTCATCAAAGGGCATAGTGAGTTTGATTAGAAATGTAAAAGTGTAAAGTCTTGAGAAGAAGGCAAATGATAAAGAACAAAGAGAAAGCCGATTGAAGATTGTTAAGTGATTGAAGAGGTGCTAACCTAAAGATTGAAGAGGTGCTAAGTAGATGCATGTAAAAGAATGGTCAGAGGATTTAAACCTGATTTCAAGACAAATAGGTAAATTGATGCTTAAGTACACCCCCCAAACCAAGCATTTGAGAATTGGAGTAAACAAGTCTTATTTATATAAAACAGCACTTTGAAAGTTTGCCAAACAAGCTTGTTTGGCAAATTTTAAAAAAGCTGTTGATGGAATCAGGCCCTCTGAGAGCAACCACAGAGTTTGGAAAACCTTACTGCCAGCAGGCCTCTAAATTATTAAAATAAGTTTAAGAGCTGTACCCTCATTAACAGATAACAGGAAAAGTTGTATAACAACTATAAAGGTGGCAAAAGCAAAAATATATTAGTAAAGTCAAGAAGATTCAGCATTCATCATCCTAGGCAGAAAACAATGTAACACAGGTTAACATAGCCTCACTATGGCAGCCTAATAGATAAAAAAGGAGTTTACGGTTGTTCAACAGAATCATTCTGCTTACCTGTAAAGTCTTTGCATAGAAGGTCTTCTACAAGACAGTAGGTGGGTGCAGTTAACATCTGCTCAAGATGAGTATTTTTATAGAGACACCATTTGTAGCTTTTACTTAACCAAGACCCCTAAGGAGTTTCGGCTGGATGCAGTTAACAACCACCCAAGATGAGTATTTTTGTCAAGATGCCTTATCTAGTCTTTAGTCAACCAAAAGCAATGGAATTTTGAGTCAGTGTTTATTTCTCCTAGCCTTTGCCTTTAAAAAGCAAACCCTACAAGGTAACAGAGCATGGAGCAAGTAGTACTAGGTTACATGATACCAGTAGCAGGGTGATTGTGATGATCCTGAACTTGACCAGATCTGGAGTAGTTAAAAGAAGTAACTTTCTGTAAGTAGCACTTTAAAACATTGGCAGAGATATTTGGGAAGTGCATTAAGAAAACATTACATTTATCGGAATACTAAAGTTTTATGTAGAAATAATATATCCTGATCAATTGATGTAGTAAAGTTTGATATTAAAATGTAACTAAACAATCGAGGTTCACTCTCAGGATACAGTTCTGAAACTAAGATTCTCTAAGTGATGCTAAAGTCACCCTTAACGTTATTACTGAGTAAAGCATTAGGAGACAAGTTTAAAATAGAATTACTGTTGTAGGTAAATAAGAACTTCAACATATTATTTATAGAAACATTGGTTGTCTGGAAAATGGAGATGTAATATGTTGTGTAAAAAGGTTGTTTTCACAAATATTGCAGAATTTATATTTGGTAGAGTTATATGGCTTAAAAAAATTTAATAAAATCATTAGATCACTTTATATTTGATTTGTTAAAATCACCAACAATCAAACAATCGCCATAGGGTTTCTTAATTAAGCCATTAGCAATTTTGAATGATTTGGCGACTAAGGTTTTTTTGACATTTTAAATAGACATTATTTGGTCTATATATATATATATATATATATATATATGTATATATATATATATATATATATATATATATATATATATATATATATATATATATATATATATATATTTTAATTATTCACCTCCCCAAGGCCCGAGGGGGCCACTACTGTCGAGAAGGCTACTCTTTTTTTTTTTTTTTTTTTGTAAATCGTGGTACAACCCTCTCTCAACTCTTTAACTCCGAAACACGAACCACTACACCACTACTGCATATATACACCAAATAAGTATAGGTTTATTGTTAACTCTTTCATATTCTCAAACTTGTTTAAGAGAATTTGTATAGAACTGATTAGCTTCATGAGGGTTAAATACATTGGTAATTTAGATACCTGAACCGCCACCTTTTTGTCTGTCTTGGCAAATTTTAGGATATAGGTTATACCCATCAATATTTGGTACTGAATCTTTTTAAAACCATGTTTTGGAGGCAGCAATAATGTGATAATCAAACTTTCTAGATATTGCAACTAAATTTTATTATCATAGGATGTTGCATTAGTAACAATTAACGCTGTAGTTTCTTTTTTTGTTATAAAGATTTTTACTCTTGTATTTTGATTTTCATTGGTAAAAGAGTGAATGTGAGTTTAAAATTTTGAGTTTAACTCGGCTGCTTGGTAAACTAAAACACAGTTTACTTGAGGATAAATGTTTATAAGCCTAATATTCACTTGGTGAATATTAAGTTTATAAATATTTAACCCTAACCTCAATGGAATGAAAATATTGGTGCAGTAATACAGTAAAACTTATTTTATATAGAAAATATATTATTTATATTAAACAAGATATATTTTATTTAATATAAAAAATATGTATATTTATTATCAAAAATATTGACTCTGCTTTTAACTTTCAAGTCATTTTCATTTTATTTTTTACAAACAAAATATATAGTTATTGATTTAAAAATTTTTTGCAAAAGAATAATTATTAAATTTATACTTGTAAGTCAAAACTTCTATGTCAGAGTATTTACAAGAAAAAGGTGAATTTAACCTATTCTGATTATTTAAATTATTCATTTCTGATTTAAATTTGTAGGTCAAAACCTCTATGATAGAGTATTTATCAAAAGCAAATATCGCCAATTCTGATGATTTAAAACAAACTTCTGATGCACTTGTTTCTCTACTTGAAATACCTGAAGATGTTTCACTACCTTCACAGGTATATTTGTTTAATTAATTCCTAAACAATCATTTAACTATGGGTATTTTCAGAATATATATATATATATATATATATATATATATATATATATATATATATATATATATATATATATATATATATATATATATATATATCCAAAATTTCTTTTAAGCACAAAAAATGTAAATATTTTAATAAACAAGACAAACTTTTTAATTAATATATATATATATATATATATATATATATATATATATATATATATATATATTAATAGAGTTGCACCCTTCTAATGAGGGTGCAACTCTAAACCTCAGTTTAATGTTGCTGGGGCGAACTCATAGTAGTGTGTAACAAACAATGCGGTAGCTCTCAGAGAGGCTGATTCCATCGTCAGCTGTAAAATATCAGAATATTAACAGTGCCATGTTGTGCATGGTATCCCTGTTAGTGTTTTTGGTGTGCGTTGTCAAGGCCAAGTATGGAGCTTTAAGCTATGACTTTGGGTTAATAATCAGAACTGAGGCAACTGTATAGCTTATTGCTTGCATTAGATGCTATGCTTTACCTATAAAGTTTTCTTTAACTTAAATCAGGACTTAAGTACTCAAAAATATTAAACATAAAAAACCATCACCACCATTAAATGTTTAAATATATCTTTAGTATAATTTGTGGCTTCCGATATTTAATAAGCAACTTTCCATTAGCTGAATCTTACCTCTTTCAAAATTCACCAAACTTTCATGTTCTTTGTGAGACTAATTTGAATTCAGTTGTTTCTTCTTTGGGTTAAGTGTGTTTATGTTCTTTGGGTTAGTGTTAATGTTCATTTCGGAAAAAACGATATGTAACGAAATTTCCCTTAAAATATACACATTTAAGGGGTGAGAGCAGATTATTTTTCAAAAAGTTACTTTTTGGGACACCCTAATATATATATATATATATATATATATATATATATATATATATATATATATATATATATATATATATATATATATATATATATATATATATATATATATATATGTATATATATATCTATACATATATATATATATATATATATATATATATATATATATATATATATATATATATATATATATATATATATATGTATATATATATATATATGTATATATATATCTATACATATATATATATATATATATATATATATATATATATATATATATATATATATATATATATATATTATATATATATATATATATATATATATATATATATATATATATATATATATATATATATATATATATATATATATATATATATATATATATATATATATGTATATATATATATATATATATGTATATATATATATATATATGTATATATATATATATATATATATATATATATATATATATGTATATATGTATATATATATATATATATATATATATATATATATATATATATATATATATATATATATTTATATATATATATATATATATAAACACACACACAATTACACAAGTAATATTATTTTTAATTGATAATTGCATTTAGGTTTATGCTGTTAACATTTTGTTGAAACTTGGAGATTTTCTTAAAAGTAATCAAGCTCTTAATAACAGTTCTAATCTTGAAAATACTGTGTCTGTTTTGAGTAACTTAGTAATTGCTTGTGGAAATGCAATAAATGTTGGCACTCAGTCTAATTCTACAAATGGAACAAACTTGCAAAATGATAATCATTTTGTAAAATTTTTTTTTTATATATTATGAAGTTATGAATTATACTTTAAAATATATATATATATATATATATATATATATATATATATATATATATATATATATATATATATATATATGTATTTAAATGTATAGAATTTCACACTTTTTGTCATAAACATTTTTTCTTTATCATTTAAATGTTTTAGAAAACTATAACAGATGTTGGTCTTAATGTAATTGATCAAGTTGTTACAGCATTTACATTAGCTATGGTAGTTGGTGAACCATCTCTTCGTATAGAAAGTAAAAACATGGCATTTGAATTAGCTAAAAAAATGTCATACGATTTTCCTATGGAAATAGTTACTTTAGGAGGTGGTTCATTTCAAATATCTGATCAAATTTTGAGTTTTGAAAATCAGAATATCAGTATGGTTGTCAAGGTAAAATTTTACTTTTCAAAAAAAAAGACCTTAAAAAGTTTTTTTTACATAACATTTAGATAACATTTAAATTTACATAAGATTATAACTTTTACATAACATTTACATAACAATTTAGAAAAAGTTGTTAAAAAAAAATAAATTTCCTTATTACAAAATTTAAAGTTATGCCTTTTTTTTTTGTTTTGTTTTGTTTTTTTATTTTTTTATTTTTCCAATATCCGATGGACACGGAAAAATTTGGTCAACTTTAAATTGAGATTTCTTTAAAACCACAAATGCTTTAATTTCTTTTTTTTTTTTTATTAAATCTTACTTCCTTATATTTAATTGTCTGAATTTCTAATTGACAAAATTTTGGAAACAATCGAGGTGTGTAGAAAAGTTGTGAATTTTTTTTTTAAAATCCATTGACTTCATATCGCTTAATTGCTAAATGTACAAATGTCTCAAAATCTACAGTCATAGATATTATAAACAAGATTTGAAAAAAATTGGAAGAAAGAAAACTTTCCATAAATCCAAAAAGTCAATTCTCAGTTCAATAGCAAGAAATCCGAACCAGTCACAGTGAGATCTAGTAAGAAAATTCAATACTTTGCGTTCTTATATCAAAAAAGTACTTAAAAATTCTGGAATTAATACATTTCATAAAAAAAAAAAAAAATACATATAAGAGAACCTTAAATGATGAAGTTAGAGGAATTTGACGCACAAAGAAGTTGGTTAAATTAATGGCGAATAAAAGTATGTGCATTATTTCAGATAACAAAACATATTGCAAGGCGGATTTTTCACTACTTCCTGGTAAACATTTATACTGTGAGAACAATGATAAACCTGTTGCTGATCAATTTAAATATATTTGACAAAAAAAATTGCATACAAGTTTTTTGTGTGGCAAGCAATTTGTAGCTATGTTATGCAGTCCTCTTGTTTTTTACTAAAAAGATCTTGACTGCTAATCTCTACATCAAAGAATGTTTGCAAAAAAGACTTTTGCCATTTATGAAAAATCACATATACGATGTCTCTTTTGTCCAGATCTTTCTGCTTCTCACTATTCTAAAAAAGTTCTACAGTGGTGCAAAGATAATGTGAAAATTGTTCCTAAAGATGCGAATCCTCCTAATTGTCCTGAAAAACGCAAGATTAAAGATTTTTCGGCAATAATTTAAGAAGTTCTTTGTAAATCAGGTGGAGTAACAAAAAATAAAAAAGACTTTCAAAAAATGTAGATTAATGCCACCAATAAGGTGAAAAAAGAAAAAAAATCTGAGAAATGATGGCATCAACCCGCTATAAAATTTGAACTCTAGTCAAACAGCCCATCAAGCCCCTTAGAATTAAGTTGAAACCCTATCGATGTAAACACAGCCAATATAAAAAAATTGAAATAAAAAGCAATAATGGTTTTAAAGAAATCTCAATTTAAAATTGACCAGATTTTTCAGTGTCTACCCAATAAACAATTTTACTGAATATAAATATAGTGTGATGAGCAAATGTACAAAAATAATTGTGAATGTGATGAGCAAATGTACGAAAATAATTGTGAATGTGATGAGCAAATGTACGAAAATAATTGTGAATGTGATGAGCGAATGTACAAAAATAATTGTGAATGTGGCAAATGTACGAAAATAATTGTGAATGTGGCGAATGTACGAAAATAATTGTGAATGTGGCGAATGTACGAAAATAATTGTGAATGTGGCGAATGTACAAAAATAATTGTGAATGTGGCGAATGTACAAAAATAATTGTGAATGTGGCGAATGTACGAAAATAATTGTGAATGTGGCGAATGTATGAAAATAATTGTGAATGTGGCGAATGTACGAAAATAATTGTGAATGTGGCGAATGTACGAAAATAATTGTGAATGTGGCGAATGTACGAAAATAATTGTGAATGTGGCAAATGTACGAAAATAATTGTGAATGTGGTGAAAGAATAAAAATCTTTTGAATGTGACAAATGAATAAAAATATTGTCAATGTGACAAAAAAAACAAAATGCAAATGAGTGCAAACATATTGTCAACATTTAAAATATTGTTTTTCATATAAATGTAAGTTAACTGTAAAGTTAACTTACATTTATATGCAAAATATATAAATGTAAAAAAAAATCACCAAGTTCTCATAATCATCGCCAAAGTCTCTAAATCACCAAGATCCCTAAATCTATCATCATCTCAAAATCTGCATCACCAATATCATATCTATCATCACCAATATCATATCTATTATCACCAATATCATATCTGTCATTACCAATATCAAGATCTCTAAATCTGTCATCACCAATTTCTCTAATTCTCTCATTCACTAATTCGTGGTTTTCAAAGTAACTTTTCTTTTGTTAAGTCTCATCTTCTTACTTTTCTCTTTGTATATTGCTCTCTTTTATCTCAAGAATTTACTTGTTTTGATTTTATTTCTGACTAAATGGACCAAGCCCTTTCTCTTTATCCTTTAGCCAATACGATTGTTGTTGGTGACTTTACTGGTCATCACACTGAATGGCTTGAGTCAGCGACTCTGCAGGCGTTAAGGCCCACAACTTTTGCCTTTCTCAATCTCTAACACAAATAGTCAACTTTCTGACTCGCTTTCCAGACAATTCTAATCATTTATCTTCTCTACTCAACTTATGTCTTGTTTCTGATCTCTGTCAGTGCTAAATTTCTCAACATTCATCTTTAAGTGCTTCTGACCATGATTTGATCTCTCTAAAATTCTAATCTCGTTCTTCTTCATTATCAGAATCCCCCTATTTTTGTACCTCTATCAACTACCTTAAAGCTGACTGGGACTTTTTCTGTAATTTTCTTTGAGATGGCCCTTGGGTAGAAATCTTTCAACTTCCTGCTAACAAAAGTGTTTATGTAACTTCTTGGATTCAGGCTGGGATTGAAACTTTTATTCCCTCTCAGTGATTCCAAGTCAAGCCTCACTCTTTTCCATGGTTTTCCTCTCATTGTGCTGCTGCAATTTCTAATTGTAGCCATTACTTCCATATCACCAAAACAATTCTCCAGAAAACAGACGTCTGTTTACTATTGCTAGTAACTATTGTAAAAAGGTTTTGTCTAATGCAAAAGTCCACTATTCTCAGGTCACAAAATCTCATATTTTATCTCAAAAACTAAACTACATACAAAATTAGACTTCTGGAGAACCTTTAACAGTGTCTATAATAAGAGTTTCTATTGAATCCTTCCTTACCAATTGTAGTATAAAAGTTATCCTCGATGAACAACACCCTTTTTTATTTACTGTAACTTTAGGGGTTCCTCAAGGTTCTATCCTTGGCCCTATACTTTTTTAAATTTACATTAACAATCTCCCATTGTTTGGTGATGATGCTAACATTTATTCTTGTCTTGTTAAGAAACCAACACTCTCTGATTGTTTGGAGGGGGCATTTAAGCTTGAAAAAGATCTCACTTCTGCAACAGCATGGGGCTCTTAGTGACTGTTGAACTTTAACTCAGATAAAACCCAGTTTTTTTTCAGATAATTGCTATCACAAAAATTTAGATCTTGCTATATTTATAAACAGTAATGTGATTTATATTTATAAACAGTAATGTAACTTGATAAGTCTTATAACCTTATGCCTTGTAGGATTAACTCTTACTTCCAATCTTTCTAAGAAACCATATATCAAATCTATTGCAAAATTAGCATCTGTTAATGTTGCATCTCTTTATCAAGCTTGCCACTTTCTTACTTCAGATTCTATTCTTCATCGCTATAAATCTCAAATCCGTTTTTGTATGGAATGCTGTTGCCATATCTGGAGCGGATCTTCGAATGATATCCTTTCTCTCTTAGACAAGATACAAAAAGGCATTGTAAACATAGTTAGAACTGCTCTTGCAACCAACCTTCAACCATTGTCACATTTTTGTAATGTTGCTTCTCTTCTTCTTTTTTCTATAAATACTATAAATACTATAATGTGTCTCTTACACCTTTGACTAAAATTCATTCTCGTGTTACTCGCCATTCAATAAATTCTCATCCTTATACTGGAATTGTTCCTAAATGCTCCAAACATTCTTGTTCATCTAGTTTTCCACTCCAACATAATTTCCTTGGAATTTGCTTCCTTTATCTTGTTTTCCTGATTCATATAATTTGCAATCTTTCAAGTCGTCTGTTAATCAATACCTTGCTTTATAAAACTTTATCTTTTCTCTTCCGGTAGTTTCCAACTCTAATAGTGGTTGCTTGTAATGGTTGCTTGTAAATGCTTTGCAATACCGCAAAGCATTGGTTTAGTTTTAACAAATTATTAACAGGGGGTTAATTGTTTATAAAATTAGATGTTTTAAATATAATTAGTCGAATCTATGTAACCAAAATTTCATAAACCTTATTTAGAAAAAAATTTGTTTATAATTATTTTTTTTAATATTGTATTAAAAAAATGAAATAATTTTAATTTAATAAATCTAAAAAATAAACAATGTTCCCGTTCTTTGTTTATGTCATAAAATGTTTACTTTTCAAAAACTGTTTACTTTTTTTTATGTTATCAAAGTTTTTTTTAAAAGTAAAGAATTACCGTCATAAATAAAAGAAAAAAAGCAAAGTCATTTTTATAAATAAAGCAAAATATTTGCATAACAAACTGCAATCATTTTAAAAGAAATGGTTGTAAAAATATAAAACATAAAACTAAAAAAACGTGTTTTAATTTTTATTTATTATTATTAAACTAAATCATGGCGAGTAGCCAAAAAATGCAGCATTTTAATCTGGTTCCTAAAAAAAAATTAAAAATGCTAGTAAACTTCATCAAGGTGAAGTTGGTCGTAATAATAACAAATTGCATGGTTTTACTGAAAATGCGCTTGCGTAAGTAAAGACTTGTACATTGTGACTTACAAACCAAGCATTGTGACTTACAATGCTTGGTAAGTCACAAACTAAATGTACAACTCACTTTATTTTTTTATATATGCTTTAAACAATGGAACGGAA